AGGGGGACCCTTGTAGAATTCCCCACTTTTTGTCACAGCATAGAGGCTGCCTTCTGGATGGAAGAAGAGGGAGTGAAACTGATCCCATTCTCCTTTGCCAACTTTCTTGGCTGTAGTCAGCCAGTCTTCATCCGGATTCACTGGAGGAGACCCTGCATAGACGTCTGCATTACGGACTGCAAACATTAACCCAGTTGGAGTGAACAGGATGTGAGAGAAGCCTTTCAGATTTCCAAGAGGTTTCGCATGATAAAAAAAGCTTTCATTGTAGTCAACTGGGGGTAATCCTATCTGGGCAAATCCTGAGCTCTCAACACCAAACAGCAACACACCTATGAACACAAATATGGAAAGAGATCCATCACAACATTTACAGTAGGTCTCAGCTGATTCTCACAGCCTCAACTGCTTTTCATGCACAATACAATCAAGGTTTCTAGTGCAGCCTACTATGGAGGGGAAAACCCATCCTTTCACAATCCAGCCCAACACCAATAGGTTACTGCACAATTGAAGGAGACCACTAAGTTACCCAAACACATCCAGGAAATACTCACACCCTTGAGCCATGAACGCCAGCCATTTGCACCACCAAAGCACCTCAGGCCAAAAAAAGGAATGGACCCCCTCTCTCATTAATGAGATGACATTGTTTGTCAGGAGCAATGTATATACACTATCCTCTACTTACAAATGAGGCACCTTTCAGGACAGGAAGAGAAGGCAAAACCTGTGTGCTTTCAAGCATTACTGCAACAGCAAGCCCAGGTTCAAGATGACCACTGAGCAGCTGTCCAAGTGGCAACCCAGTTTGGAAGATCAAGATGCTTCTGGTACCTAAACAGCACCATAGCTCCACATACTCACTCATATTGTCTGCTGCTGAAGTCTTAACCTGGTCAGACATGGTTGAGGTTAAGATGTTTCTTGCTGAAGAGGAGGTAAGTGTTCTATGCACCTGCAAAACAGTTCCACAGCCAAAGTAGTTATTTTAAGAGTGATCCCTTTCTCGTAGGGATGCCCATATTAAATTTGTCACTTTAACAATAAAAAAAATACATCTTTCCAGCCAATTATCTTTGAGTCAATCAAAAAATCAGCAGCAACTATTCCTTGAGCAAGAATAGCAGAACACCGTGAAAAACAGTAGGGGGCATAATTGTGAGAAATTAAAAAAAAATGAACAGATCTTAAAACAGCAAAGAGCAGGGAACTACAATAGTCCCTCACGCTGTTCTGAAGGTGACAATTCACGTTACTCTGACCTTCACACTTTTCTTAACCTCGGGCAACTGAAAGCCCTCTCCAGAACTGAGAAAAAAAAAAACATCATTGGGAGTGTACTTCCTTAGGATATAGTAGTCATTCTATTTGCCCCAACAGTATTAAAGTAATAAAAACACAAACGGACTAATGAACTGCTTGAGAGGTCAGGATAGCACTTTCCGTTAGACTACGAAAGATTCCCTTTTTGGGAATTTTTCGGAAACGCGAAAAACGCGTGAAAACACATGCTTAGCTATAGCTAAAACTCGGAAAGCTTATGCTTATAAATCCAGGGACGGGTGCACATCAAAACAATACGCAACTCTTTCGTTCAACAAAGCTAAAAATAAATATTAAAACGCTTCTTAAAACAACATACAGGACTCACGGTAGACCTGTATCCGCCACCTTTCAACCTCAACTCCCCAACCCTAAAACAACCAACCACGCAGCTTTTACAGCTGCCCCTTCTTTTAAACCCTGAGCTCCGCCCCGTGTGTGTAAAACAGACCAATGACGCCAGACAGACGATCACTCTACCCTAAATAAAGCAAAGTGTCACGGGTTTTCAATATTGAATCAGATGCAAGAGATGGCGTACTGTAGTGCAGTACAACAACGAGAAAATACCCGCAGTTTGAAATGCTCCGTTTACGAATGTGAGCTGTATATAAATATATACGTGTGGGTAAGTCTTGCGTGGACTGTGTACCGAGAGTCTCATTCCACATCACAGGTCTACACAAAGCCGGTGAGCCAGCGACTGACACAGGATTGCAGAATCAGGTCAATAGCGCCCTTGAGCTTGTGATTCTGTACTGCATATATTGTCAAACAGAGCTTTACTCTGTGTTTGTTCCAAATATACAAAAATACAAAATGTTTAATAGAACCCCGAATTACATTGCTAACAAATTAAAGGGACGCTGTGTAATACGTGTGTTGATGTAATGATCAGTTTTTAATATAACCCAATAAATATATAACCCACAGATACAGATAATTTTTCTAAATTCGAAGTACAGATTAATCTTCCCCTTGACACCGTTATTCTGATACAGCACATTTTGTCGGAAGCAGCTGTTAAACTAGCGCGGGTTCAGGAAGCAGCAAACGCAGGGCCATCACTGGGGTAAAAAAAGTGTTGAGGCTTTAATTGCAGAACAAAATGATCAGTATCAGTTATACTTTAGGTAGATAAGATCTTAAAACACAGCAGTGAGGTTAAGGTAGAGTGCAAGCAAGTGTACCGAAACAGTACACAGTGAATTAATTCCTAATTTACAGGTCCTATCACTAAGGGGTGTGTACAGTTATAAAACCCATTTTCCGAGATTTTCATTTGCAATGACTTTTCAGAATGTTTGCCTTTCACTTGGGGTTGTGTGTTACAGTATATAAATGAACGTGAAATACATTCTGATTAAATGTGTCTTGTTTGCAATTTCGCAAAATGTTTTAAGTTGGAAACAGTGTTTTGACTTTCTATAAGCATATAGAGTTTCTATAAACTGAGCAGTACAACAGCGAGCAATTACCTGCAGTTTGAAATGATCTGTACAGTATGTGTTCTGCATGTCCATGTAAAATGACTTCATTATCAAATATGCCTTTGCCTGCATGTGTTTTGCCAACTTTCTATTTTACAAAATCACTAAAGGTAGTGGCTTGTGTCCTATCTCTTACAATATGTTGGATTAACACAACAAATCATTACTAAACAAAAAGACTCAAGGGAAGTTAATATACTAATTGTGCAAGCTGTTTTACAGACGTGTCCGAATTACGTTTTTAAGTAATTAAAGGGACACTGTGCAATTTGTGGGGTGGTATAATGAACATTGTTTCTTGCATACCCTACTGAAATACAAAACTGCAAGCTGTTTTATGCACTCTGGGTCATTAATTTTGTAATGAAATACTATGGCAAAGCAAAGAGTCAAGGAAGCATCAAAATGGATATGATTTGGAAAGTGAAAATGTACTGAACTCACTTCAAGCCATCTCATTTTACAGGAACAATTTTTGAAACTTGAATCTGAATACAAAATGTATGTTACAGAGCCGTCTTGGTCTACATTATAATAAGTGTAAAGTGACTTATTAGATACAATGCTTGTATGCATAAAAATCTCAGGAGGGGGACCCTTGTAAAATTAACCACTTTTTACCACATCTAAGAGGCTGCCTCCTGGATGGAAGAAGAGGGATACATTCAATATTGAAAGATCAATGGGTTGCATCACAGAAAAGCTTTCTATTATAGGTAGTAGGTTACCCATATATACAACCAGGAAACATTCATACCCTTGAACCATGAAAGCCACCCATTTGCAGTACTGAAATAAAGCAGGGAGGAATTTAAGCAACACAGTTCACAAAGGACTGAGAGGGAGTTGCCCTCTCTCTCATGAGGTAGTATATCTAGATTATAGTGCACGACCAAGCAATGTGGTTAAAAATGAAGGACTTCTGAGTAAGCATGAAGTTTTGCCTTCTCTTTCATGGAGAGAAAGTATATCATTATATCAGGCTTAGAGGAGTGGCATGCATAGTTTGTGCCCTCTCCATGCCCCTGATCCAATGTACCAAAGAAAGAAACCCCAGAGGCATTTGTTCAATAAAACAGTAGATCTTCCTATAGAGGACAGGATCTAAGTTCTTCAGTGGTTTCTAATAATGTGGAAACCATAAATTCATCGAAGGAACAGAGGAAAAAGAAAAACTGGCAGCTACAGAGAGAAGAGGAAAGTAGGAGCAGAGAGAAGAGAAGAGAATGAGAAGACAGAGAGGAAGACAGAAGACTAAAGCTCCTTGTTCTAATCAGATTTTATGACCAGATTCAAGTTCAGTTTTTGAACTTTGTTAAGAGAACTTGCCATTCTACTGCTTTTAGGAAACTCGGATTTCCTATATAGAGAATCCCTGGGTTACAAACACAATCTACTGGTTAGTGAATGGATTTTATGGAAAAGTGAGGTTCCCGTTCATTTCCCGTTCATTTCATAGCATCCTGATTTCTAAGAGGTTGTGATGGCCATCATCCCTCCTCTAGAGGGCGCTCCTACATTTTCCAATGTGTTGCCAGTTGTATTTGTCCCAGCTGTATCTTATCCTGTTTTCCCTACTGAAGCCCGGCGTCTCCATAGTTCTGGGCTCAGCTTTGGAAGACGGATGCCCGGAAGCCTGCCTACCACCGGGCACAGGAGTGGCCCAAGAGCACAGGCTTCACCATGGTGTCCTGACCTTCTGAGCTTGGGGCTCGGAGCACCTTGTCCTGTCAATGTTTTAACTATCTGTATTCCTCGTTCCCTGTTCCCTGTGTCTGTCTTGGATGGATCTCCCGGCACCTGGACTTTGGACTGACCCTGATTTCCCCTACTGGACTTCCTTTCGGACTTGTGCACCTACACTCCCCCCCTGCACCAGATCACTGCTGTCACCACCCCCTGTGTTTCCATCCGCCCTGATCCTGCTGTGTCCTACCAGATGTCCTACTCCAGTCACTTCCGGATTATACCGTCTCGTATAGAGTCTTTAACTACGCATTTCACAGTAGAAACAGCTCCCGTGACAGAGATTTAACTATTAAGTCGAGTAATGAAAGTTAAAATAACTTTGCCCACTTGGCTCAGGGTTAACCTCCTGACATAGGAGGAGGAGGCTAGAGTCCTTCTGGGAGGCCGTGCAGAGAGAACACTGACCAAGGGGTAGCTGCAGAGGTGGAGATGGGGTGGAAGAGGGATGCGAAAGACAAATGTAAGGGACAGAGGGGGATAAAGTACAGTATCTATGATGGTTGAGTGAGAAAGTGATGTCCTGATTAATTACAAATTACAGACAGCTGAGCTTTCATCATAAACTCCTTTAAAAAAGTTGAATTCACGTTTAAGCCTTCAAGAATCAGGGCTTGGTTTATTAAATGCCAATCTTTAGAAAGAGGTAAC